CGGCGCTCCAGGTCCCCTTCCCACGTCGCTGCTGCAGGACTGATGGCAAGGGCCGCGAGGTCAGTGACGGGTGCAGGGGGGACACCACCACCTGTAGACCGCCAGGGGGCGGGACGCAGTGGACAGCAGGGCCCGCAGCTAACCCCGCAGGGCTGTCCGGCTCCCCTCCACCCGGCCCGCCCGGTTCCAGCGCTCCCTCTGTCGGGACCCCAGACTCCCAACCAAACACCCCTGCCCGGCCGTGGAAGCTCCGCGTCCCCGAGGCCCTCGGCGACCCAGCCAGTTCGCGGGCCGCCCTCGCTGCGGCCGGTTCAGGGCCCGCTGTCCCGCCGCCTGGGGCTGCGGCCACACCCTGAGGCCCGGGCTCCTCCCCTGGCAGGAGTCCCCTCCTCCCTCCCTGGCCGGGGTCTCCCGCCCCAGCCCGCCGCCCGCCCGCTCCTCGCGACGCGCTTTCCCGGGGGCGTTACCTGTTCTGCGGGTCGGCGTCCTGCCCGGAGCCGGAACACTGCTCGCCGCCATCTTGGCGTCTTCCCAAGACGCCGGTCGGTGACGTCAGCGCCGCGCCCGCAGCCGTGTGCAGTTCCCGCCACGCCACGCGCCCTAAGCCCCGCCCACTGAGCTCGGCTCGCGCCCTCACGGCCTACTCCGCGGCTGGGGGCGGGGCTGACCAGCGCCCCGCCCCTGCTGCGACCCCGCCCCTGACGAGGCCCCGCCCCTCACCACAGGTCCCGCTCCTGTCGCTGCTCGCGCCTTCTCACCGCCTACCCGGACCAGAGGGGGCGGGTCTAGCCGCGCCCCGCCCCTCGCCGAGGCCCCGCCCCTCGCCGACGGCCTTCACTCCCTCCCCAAGGAGTTAAGGGAGTCGGATCCCACATGGCCAACCCGGGTGTGAATCCCTGCCCTGGGCCTGTAGTGCCTGCCCCAAATCCTGACCTGGAGGAGGAAGAGAGGAAAAATAATTGCTGAGCTGTGGGGCCCAACTTAAATGCTCATGCAGAAGAGAAAAGGTTTATTTTTTTTCCCCAACCATTTATTTATTTATTATCATTAATTTTCAGTTTGACCAGAGAGAGACAGACTGACAGAGAGAGGAAGTGAAAAAGCAACTGCCAAGTCCAGGACTCGAGCTGTGGTCAGCCATGTGGGAGTCCAGTGCCTTAACCACCACGCCACCTGCCAGCCCCCTTTGCTTTTTTTAAGAATTGTTTACTGGGGCCACCAGCAGTGTAGTGGTTAAGGGACTGGACTCCCACATGGCTGGCCACGTTCAAGTCTGGGACCTGGTGGTTTGAAACACACCAGGTGTGTGTTGCCAAAATCCTGAGAGGGGAATGGAGGAGAAGGGAGTGCAGCGTGGCCATCCTGGGGGTGGCATCTCACTTTCTCTCTGTCGCTGTGTCTTCAGTGAGCTCATGCTCCCTATAGCAAAGAAAGAAAGAAAGAAAACTCTTTAAAAAGAAAGGAACTATTAATTAATTAATTAATTAATTTTGATCAGAGGGACAGAGAGAAGCAAAGTGAGAAACCAGGTTTGGGACTCAAACTGTGGTCAGCCATGTGGCAGTCCAGCGCCCCAACCACCATGCCACCAGCTGGTCCCAGAATGGGTATTGCAGTCGGCATGGAAGAATATCCCAGGCACCGTGGGCAGAATTCACAGACTCCCTCGAGCAAACGCCTGATTACCCCGCTCTACGGGTGCACATCTCCTTCTGAAATAAACCCGAGCTGTTAGGCGAGAGCGGTCGTCTCTCCCTGCTCAGCGTGGCAGGTGCGACTCTGCGGTGGCTCAGAGGAGCGTGTACCGAGCACCTGCTGCCTGCCGGATAGCCTGGGTGGGGCTGGCGCTGCTTAAAGGGATGACAGACGTGGCTGCCGTGGCAGAGGGTCTGCTAGGAGCTCAGCCCGGATGGTTCTGTGCATGAGTCTCTTGCAATAACAATGCGTCAGTAATCAGCAGACATTCAGACCTGAGGGGACCGGCATGACTTCTGTCCCCTGGCACTAGTGACCTTGTGTCACCTCTCCTTCCTGAATGTGCACAGCCCCTTGTGACCCGCTTTTAACAACAGAATATGACGAGAGAGATGTCTTGCATGATCTTTCTTTTAATTGCCAGAGGGTGTGTGCACTCGCTAGAGACAGAGAAAGAAGGGAAATCGCCCCCCTGGGGTGTGGTCTTTCCCCTCCTTCTCTCTCTCCTTTTGGGATTTTGGGCATGTGCACGGGCACCTGGCGTGTTTCTCAAGGTGCCAGGTCCAGGACTCGAACTGTGCAGATGGTCGTGTGGGATCCAGCCGCTCTAACCACGAGGCCATGGAGCCAGCTCAAATATGCATCGAATACACGTGAGACAGCCCCGTAGGACAGCAGTTAAGCCTTGGAGTGAGAAGCTGTGTCACACACGGCAGGTCATGCAGTTCGAATCGTGGCCCCAGCAGCTTGAAAAACACACCAGGCGCTGGGGGGAGCAGGTGACGTGGTGGCTAAGGCACTAGACTCCCACGTGGTCGGCTGTGGTTTGAGTCCCAGACCTGGTGACTGGAGAATTAGACTGGGTGTGTGCGTGTGTGTGCCCCAGATCCCAACAGGGTGGAGAAGTGCAGGGGGACTGTGGTGTGACCATGTCCCACTGGGGGCGCTGTCCCCTCTCCCTCTCTCTGTGTCTCCATCTCTCGCTCTCTGGTGACCACACGCACCCCCTGGCAATTAAAAATAAAAAACCTTAGAAGGCTGGTGCTTCTATTAACTTCCATTTGCTGCAGCCTGTCAGATCAGGTGGCTTTGTGACTACAGAGCGTTTCGAGAGATTTAAAGGAGCCAACGCGTCTGCCCGGCCGGGGTGTCCTGGGCTCCCTTATAGTAGACAGACACAGGCTGATGTCACGCGACGCCCACTGACGATTAGCAGATGGCCTTCCTGCATCTGTGCCTCCGTCGTGACGTCTGTCCACTGGGACTGGCCTGGGGGCTTGGCGGACGCCACTGCCCTGCGCTGGCTGACGTCCACTGTGGTCATTTCACGTGGCCTCTGTCCGGTCCCTGCGGGTCTGTTAGGTAGCGAGGGCCACCTTGTCCTCAGGACGGCAGCTCTGCTGTCCCTGCCCTCGGAGTGCACAGGTCAGGGGACTCAGAGAGCTCACAGCAGGGGTTGGCGCTCCACAGAGCAGCCGTAAGGCTGCTTTCCCTAGGGACCAACAGAGGGCGCACTGGCTACGTCGCTGGACTCCCAGGTAGTCAACCGTGGTTCCAGTCCCAGACCACACCGGGCACGTGGGCGAGTGTGCCCAAGATCCCGAGAGGAGAATGGAGGAGAAGGGATTGCAGCGTGGCCATCCCCCCTGGGAGGTGATTTCTCGCTTTCTGTCTCTCTGTCTCTGTCTGTCTGGCAAGTGCACTCGCTTTATAGCAAAAACCTCTCAAAAAAATTACTATTTTACTTAACTTTATTTATTTATTTTAATTTGACCAGAGAGAGACGCCCTTTAGGGCATGTGCCCCTACAATAGGGCATGCGTATTCACTAGAGAGTGAGTGAGAACGCCAGCCACCAGGTTCGGGACTCGAGCTGCAGTTGGCCATGTGGGAGTCCATCACCCCAACCACCACACTGCCTTCTGGCCCCAGCACTCAGCATGATTTTCAAGCCTCCGAGTCCAGGTTTTGAACCATGCAATCGGCCATGTGGGTCCAGACGCCTTACGCGGCACCACCAGCTGGCTCCGCGGAAATTTATATTCTAGTGCGGGGCAGGGCAGAGAGCAAGCCCACAAGCCATGTAAGTAACTGCAGCAGCGTGAGGGGTGTGGAGCCCTGGGGCCGGAGCACGGAGACACCGAGCACCCACTCCCAGAGAAGGGGACACGGAGACTCGGATGAGCCCTGCAACAGCCCCGTCCACAGCCCCACGAGTCACCCAGGGGCAGAGGCGGCCACATGTCCACCGGCAGGTGACGCACCAAGCCCTCATGGCCCATCCACAGGGGAGCAGGGCTCAGCCGTGAACAGGAAGGCGACTGTGAGCCAGGTCACAACACGGATGCTGCTGGACAAACGGTGCTCAGAAGCCAAGCAGGGTGTGACCCCATAGAATGAAACTCCCAGGGGGCCAGCAGGTGACGTGGGGTGCGAGCGGTCGGCTCCCACCTGGGAGGGACACCCCTGGGCATTCCGCGTGGCCCCAACCTCTGCCCATGTTCGCTCAGCCTTCCCCTCCCGTCTTCTCCCTTCTCTTCGAAGGACGCCTGTCACTGGGTTGCCCACCCTACCCAGGATGATGCCTTCTCGATCTCACAGTTCCCTCTCTGAAGCCCCTTTACCAGTGGCCAGCCCCGTGGCCTAGTGGTTGAGGGCATTGGGTCCCACATGGTCGAGTGCTCTGTTCAAATCCTGGCTTCGGTGGCTCAATAAACACACCAGGTGCATGTGTGCGTTGCCCACAATCTCAGGAGGGAGGGACGGGATGCAGGGATGGTGGCAGGACCACACCCCACTGGGTGCTTCCTGCCCTCCCCCGTCTCTCCCGGGCGAGTGCACACACTCTCTAGCAAGATAAAGACACGCAAATGGGACCCGCAGGTAGTGTGCTGGTTAAGGTGCTGACTGTGGTTCAAGTCCTGAACCTGGCAGTTGGAAACTCCCCAGGGCAGGGGAGGGGGCACATGTGCATACGAGCAAAGTCTCAGGAGGAGAATGCAGGAGGGATTACGGCGTGGCCAGCCCCTGGGGTGGGGGGTTTCTCACTTCCCCTCTCTGGCTCTCTCCTGCGAGTGCACACGCCCTATGGCAAAAACCTCCAACACACACATGCACAGAGACATGCACACACACGCACACACACGCACACACACACGCTTTCCCCAGATCGGGTCACACTCACATTCCAGCCGTCGGGATGTGGCCACCTCTTTTGGGGGGAGGGGCGGTACGCTTCGTACCGACGTCAGTGTAGCAACCAGGGGGGCACCCCATAACCAGGGGGTAGGCAGCCACACAGAGCCGACCGGAGTCCAGTCCAGGCCCCATAGGCTGGAGAGATACAGCCCCAGGATGTGCTGGGGTGCAGAATTGGACAAAGGAGCCGGCATGGCGGGGCGGGTGGGGGGTGGAGGGGCGCGTCCTCTCTCCCTCACGCGTGCACCCTGGGCCTGCCCGGAAATGAATGAAGAGGTAACTGGCCGCAAGAGCACGGCC